TGTCAGCTAGAGGAGCGTTTATGAACAAGAGGTGTTGCTTTTGCCGTAAACACGAAAGCAAGATCTGATCAAAGAAATAATAAGGACATCTCCTTTAGTGTTACCAAATGTGAACTTTCCCATAAAACAAACAAAAGGACATTTTGACATTTTATAACATTACAGTTCTCTTCCAGTGACCTTTGACCTTTTTTTCCACACTCCAAAGCTAATTTTGTCTTTCAGGATCATAAAGTGTTTATACTCAACATAACTTATGTAATGATTTAAATTACATGTTATTTAATAAGCCATAAGACAAAAGATTCCATAGCAAATATGAAATCCACCTTATGGATCTGTGAGGTTATTTTAAACCAGAAGATTGGAACTTTTTAATGCAGGGATTAGATAACAGCTTCATATTCACTCAGAGACAACAGAAGAGAGAAAGAGTCGAGTTTAAAAGTTTAAAGATTTATTAAAAACAAATTAAACTAGACTAACTTTAACACTAAATGTATGCTGTAACTAAGGTGGATGAGACGGAGAATGGTGTGATGTGGAATGTTGCTCAGTACCAGCAAATCCAAAGAAGCGATTAGTTCTGATGGGAACTGAGGGTGATGTCTTCGCGTTAAGCTTTGGTTAGAAGATTCATAAACACATTCGACGCCATTTGTCGGCCTACATACCCTGGTGGAAGTCCCCGTTAGATCAGGAATGTCGAGGTCCAGCTTGACCTTCTCTGGAACCGAAGCCGGTAGGAAAAGCAACGGTTGCCGACCAGACTGGTCTTTGAGATACTCCCGGGTCACGACAATTTTGTTGGCATCTAGTGAGACCCAACCGTGGGTCGTGATGGTTCAGCTTTTATTCTGCAAGGAACCGTTGCAGCAGTTGTAACAGCAACAGATTTTATTCAGCTTGTCGTTGGTTCTTTTGGCTGAAGAGGAAAGTTACGGATTGGCCACTCCGACACTTCTCTAGAACGCTTTGAACTGGCGTTAAAGATGACATGGGTATAGTTTCATGCTTCGGATGTTTTGGTTTATGATCGAATGAAAAGATGACAGATTTACCAAACACCATCAAAACCACTCCTCCGTCAGATCTGGCAGATTCTGATTGGATCAGTGAATGCAATGTGTCATGTCTTTTAACGCTACGTGAGATCAGTCCTAGTGGAACATTTAAAGTCCTATTACTCATTATATTCTAAAGGATTATAATAAAGTAATTAATATTTTGATTTCACAGATTGGTCACATCTCATTTATTGACTAACAATTTGCTTGATTAGCTTATTAAAATAGAGTTCTTTGATTTTTTAAAAGGAGAGAGTCCATTCTTCGTTCTTCTGTTGAGCTGGAAAGAAGCAGTTTTATAACAAATGCATGAGACCTTGAGGCCATATCTCATGCAGACTAGTCCTGTGTCAGAGGAGAGGCGGAAAATGACTTTTGGTGGAAAACAGTCATTTCATACCGTTACACATAATATAAACATGAAATATGGCTCGTTTGTTCTAAAGTAATTATACCAGAACTGCTGTTTGTGTCACAATTACAGAGATGCATTTGTTTTCCCTGGAGATGCCAATTGAAACCAACATGGAAACGTTAAAAAGCTCAAAATCCATTTAGCTATTTTCATGTGAATATGGATGCATCTGGCATTTTAATGAACTTAAATATGAATGCATTTTGTTTAGGCAGTGGGTTGTTTTCTTGTACTTTATTCTGTTCTGCACTACTAATAAAATAATAATGTAGTTCAGGGCTGTTGTGTCTGTTCCCAGCAGAAGTGGAATCAATAAACAATAACAGTTGGGGTTTTTTGTGCTAAACAGGCGAATACAATCAAACAACAAAATTTTATATTCATTACTTCAAATGTTCGTTGTAATTTTGTGACAGCTTTTTGTTCCAGTGTCCTCCTGAAGGCAGAAGAATGGAAGTCATTTTAGACGCTGTCCTTGTTCTCAAGGCTTCTAATACATGGATGTCTAAAAATATACAAAGAAGTGACTCAGAGAAAAACAAGCCTCCCTTTTGTCTTGTCTGTTTCACATAAATTTAATTGTATTTAATATGTTCTCTCTATCTGGTTCAGTAAATGAAAGAAAAATGCCTCTAGCCACTGAGATGACCAATTGAAGGCTGCTATTTTAATATCTTTGTGTAATCCTGTGCTTTACCTTTGTTTTATTCAGCAATTTTAGGATAAAAGAGCCAAGAGAGAGAAGCAAAATGTGTAATATTGGTCAATGAGATTAGATTTAAACTATTACTTGCAAATTTGTTTGTAACAGTTTTGAAGGATTAAGCTGCTGTCCTCAAGTGACTTGCAGGACAAGGGTTTTGAGTGTATATAAACACTATGTTTTAATAATTTTTTATGAAAATATGCCATAAATACAGTGTACACACCTTCCTATCATTTAAGTACTGGAATGATCTAAAAATTACTCCAAGGTTAGCTTGGACCTTCATTCTCTTATGTGATATCTTTTCAAAATCACCAGAAAAATTTTCACTAACTTGTGACAAAGTAGCAGTCAAAACAGATTTTTTTGGTAAAGGATTGGATTTTAAAGCATCAAAACATGATTCTGCTGTGATTGAATTAGTTGTTCCTAAAACGAAAAATATCTGAAATAAAGACCTAACGCTGATAAAAGACTACTTTCTGCATATTCAGTAAATAAATGTTTAGTAGTCTAATACTCTAACGCAAAAGTGAACATAGTTCCTTTGTAAACAAAATTTCCTAGCCTAGAAATCTAGACAGACATTAGCCAAAGCAAAAATGGTTTTGCTCTGCATGTTGATCTGGCCACGCTTCATAGGAACCTCAGCAGGCCCTGAGAAGTTTTGTGTTATGCTAATCACAGTGCTCTGTTTGGCTGGCCTATCACAGTGCTCTTATCAGTTTGGTGGGCGGGATGCTGCGACTGAGCAAAACATTAAGATGGCAAACAATTGTTTGAAACTGCTTTGGTCAACTTTGGACTATTTAAACTCGGGTTTTTCTTTGAGTGAAGACTAGAGGTGCTTAAGACCTTTACTTAGAAAAAGGATGAATTGGCATCTCTTTTGACAATTTATGGTATAGTTTTTCTGTTTTTGCTCAAGCGTCATCTATAGTTGCTAGTTTAGCTCTAATCTGTTTAGAGCAGATTGGGAGAAAACTACTTTTTTAGAGCTTTATTTTATTTATATACCATTTTTCAGCCACGGATCAAAAGACTGAACTGAAAGTTAATATAAATTTCTATAAAGAGGGATTTGATTTAGATTCAGAAGATGATTCTCAAATTCCTTAGTGACTGCTGCAAATGCAAAAGTGATGATAAAGACAGGACCCAGCTTGCTTTTATAAAATTCAATAGAAATAAAGTTTCTGAGCAGATCATTTTCCTGGGAAATGTGATACTGCAGCAGCAGTTAAAGTTTGTTGTACAAGATGTCAGCATTGTAAAAACTGCATTAACTACTGAATAATTTAGGAAAATTAAAAATGGTAAGTGGGGTAATCAGAGTGCATTACATTTTATGATGATTTAGCATCAGACAGAACTGGCTTTCTCCGAGGTGTACAACAGGGCTCAATTCTTACCCCTCTTTTGTTTTCCATTTAGTTCTGACCATCTGGGGCAATACCATTGTTTTCCTTGTTTATCTATGTGCTTTATTTTTTTTATTTATTTTTTATTTTTTTGGTTACTAATATCCTCATTAGCTGCTGTTAAACAGCTGCTATTCTTCCTGGAGTTGCTTTATTGTAACATCATTTTGTGCAACCCCCTGTATTGCTTTCTTGCTGCCTTCCTGGACCGGGCCACTCTTGCCATTGAGATTTGACATCTGAAATAAAACAGTCCACTTTGCTGCCCATTTTTAAAGCTGGGCTGAAGGTTAAGCTTAGGTCTAGTTCTTAGCTGTTCTACAGCTGTTTTGTTGTGTTTTAGTTGTTCTTTGTTCAGCAACTTGGTTCTCATTGATTGGTGGTGAGAAGGGGCTTTATAAATAAAGTTGAATTGAACAAAGTTGAATAATCTGAGTGAGTCTCTCATCTGGTTAAATAATGAATACATATCATATTTTGAAAGCACATTGTTACATTTAACCTTTATTTGCACAATTGTCAGATTTATTTCTTTGTCAAGGCATCCAGAAATGGACTCAGCCCCATCCAAAGTACCTTTCTGAGGTTAAAGCCAGGTTGGCTCAAAACTTCCTGAACTTGAACAAGGAGAAGACTGAGGTTTTGGTGCTGAGACCTAACTCTGTGACAACTATAAATGGGATATCTAACTCGTTCGAAGGATATGCGAAGGATATTGTCTCCAATATGGGTGGGAACATAAGACACCTATAAGCAAAATTATAAACCTTTTATCTCGAGGACAAATTTAAAATCTGTGACTCATGCAGTGGTGACTTTAAAACTGGAAATATTGTAACTCTATGTGTGGGCTGTAGCAAAACTACAATGTCCAGGCTACAGATTAGTACAAAGCGAGGTGACCATATTTCCCAAGTACTGACCACTCGTCACTTGCCCCCAATCATTTTTGTGGAAAATTATTTTATTTATAGGATAACCTACACCTGTATGTTCACCCCGGACCTTTGCTTAGCTGGACAACTGCAGCTAGAAGTTCCAATAGCATATCTGAAATTGAAAGGGGGAATTGCGTGTTTTCAATCATGGCACCTAAACTTTGGAATGCGCCACTGATGGGTATTGGCCAGGCTCTATCTCCCAAGATTTTTTTAAATTGCGTTGAAGACACATTTTTATTGACTAGCTTTTAATCATATTGAGGAAATGGATACTGAATTTAACTGTATCTATAAGTTTATTGATGTTTGATAGTTTTTGACATTTTTTTGATTGGATTAAACTCTTAACATGGTGTGTAGTCCTCAGGGCAACCTCAGGTTGTGGCGAAAATGACAACGACACAAACCTAAACCAAAGACCTCTTTGTTCTTCCAAAACAAACAAATATGGATTTTCAATACTTTTATTAAAGTTGAATTTCTGTCATTTGGTGGTTAAGATTAATAAACCAAAGTCATTGTGCAATAACGTTTGGTAGTTTTGCAGAATAAATTCCACCATTACCAAATGAAAACATGATGCATATATTTCATTGATATATTCTCTCTAAAGGTCTGTGATATAATGAAATCGCATTTAAAAGCACATAGTTTCTTAAATATGAACATTTTAAAACACAGTTATACATCAGTGATTGAGAAGTGGTTGAAGATACAGTAACTGAACACTAATATACAGTAACTGATCACTTATATATCTAGCATTATATAGAAGACAGAATTTTTAATATTAACTGTATTTGCATTAAATGCACACAATAACAGGATAGCTGAATGAAAGCAAACTGTCACAGTATGTACAATATGTACAGCCGAGATGTGACCCCATCAACATGCCTGACATCCATCACCTCTGCATACTCATTTTTTCATATTTAAATGCACTCAGCAGCTGAAAATAAACAACCAAATCCAACCTTATACAAACATTGCTGTTTTAATTTTCAGTGAGTTCATTCAATGAGCCTCCTTTTATTTTTAGTTTTTCCTGTTTTTGCAAAAAAAAAAAAATCCAACAAACAGTGCAAAGGAAAAGAGGCCATAACACAAGCCAGGGGATGTTAGAAAAATCATGATGCAGCTGTCGCATCACACAAAATCAATCATTTTGAGTACATACAACCTATAAAATGGAACAATGCCTTATTGATGCAAGCAGATGATACATGAGTGATCAGACACACGAAACAATCAAAGAAGCAGCTGGAGAGTATTTTCTTTTAAAACGTTTATGTGACTCTTTGTGTGTGTGTGTGTGTGTGTGTGTGTGTGTGTGTGTGTGTGTGTGTGTGTGTGTGTTAGAGTGCATGTCAGTAGGAGGGGATGATACAGCAGGGTCTCTCAGTCCATGTGGGCTGCGGATCTATCAGTCCACGTTCAGTTGTTAGTCATAATCCACCAGGAAGCTGAGGAAATAGAGAGGAAATAAATAAAAACATTACCACCCATCTTTTGACTTCTGGTAGTGGATGATAAATAAAAAAATATCAGAAATTTAGACTTTTCTGTTTTATGTCAGTTTATGGGGTGAAATTGTTCATATGAAAATATTTAAAACTTTAATGGTGCACGAATTAAGAATGACATCTTGTGGTCAAATGTGAGTACTGCAGTTCAAGTATCAAAATAAACTATTCAGCTCTCAGCCAATCCACCGGTCTTTATGGAGTTTCATGCTGGTTGCCAGTTATGAATCAGTGCCAGCAGATTCTAGATAACAAGTTAAGACATGTAGATAAATAAATGTAACTTTAAAAGACTTTTTGGTAATTGAAAATATGTAGCTTAAAATATTTTCAGAGCAGATTTTTTTTTTCTAATTCACTGTTAGCATTGTTAGCCAACATTAGCCTCTAGCCTTTTTGTCTGATTTTAAAGTAAAACAAAAAGGATGATAGCCGGTGTCAACATTATTTCTATTATTTAATCATTTAAAACTATTTATACTACAAGTCTAAATTGATTCGGGAAAGGGTAGAATGCCTTCTCTGGGTCAGGGATGAGCTCCTGCCCCAAGTGGAGGAGTTTAAGTATCTCTGGGTCTTGTTCACGAGTGAGGGAAAACTGGAGCGTGAGACTGATAGGCGGATTGGTGCTGCATCTGCAGTGATGCGGGTATTGTACCAGTCTGTCATGGTGAAAAGAGAGCTGAGCCAGGAGGCGAAGCTCACGATTTACCGGTCGATCTACGTTCCTACCCTCACCTATGGTCACGAGCCTTGGGTAGTGACCGAAAGAACGAGATACAAGCAGCCAAAATGAGTTTTCTCCACAGGATGGATGGGCTCTCCCTTAGAGATAGGGTGAGAAGCTCTGTCATCCGGGAGAAGCTCGGAGTAGATTTGCTGCTCCTCCACATTGAGAGGAGCCAGTTGAGGTGGCTTGGGCATCTGGTCAGGATGCCTCCTGGATGCCTCCCTGGTGAAGTTTTCCGGGCACGTCTAACTGGGAGGAGGCCTAAAAGTAGACCCAGGACACGTTGGAGGGACTATGTCTCTCACCTGGCCAGGGAACGCCTTGGGATTCCCCAGGAGGAGCTGGCCCAAATGGCTGGGGAGAGGGAAGTCTGGGCCTCTCGACTTAGGCTACTGCCCCCGCGACCCGACTCCGGATAAGCGGATGAAAATGGATGGATGGATGGACTTCAAGTCATTTTAAATAAGAAAGCAACAACATGTCCTTTGTGTTTACACAGAAAATGTCCTTTTTCATTATCTGAAAGAATTAGCATTCGTAAGACACAAATGTGACAGTAAACAAGCATTTTCTAAAAGAAACCAAGCAATGAGCAAAAACAGCCCACACTGAAATCCTCCTCTCCAATTTATGCACAAAGGGCAGAAATAATCTCTAACGCTGCTGCTTTCTGAGATGCATGTAGTTTGGTGACGTGGACAACAAATTAATCAAATGTCAAGATGAGCGAGTCACGACAGTGGCCTGGGCTCGAGTGGCAGTGAATCACACTACTCTGCTGAGAAGTCAATGATGTGATAATGAGCAGGGCACAGAATCTGTGTGTGTGTGTGTGTGTGTGTGTGTGTGTATGTGTGTGTGTGTGTGTGTGAGTGTGTGTGTGTGAGAGAGAGAGAGAGAGAGAGAGAGAGAGAGAGAGAGAGAGAGAGAGAGAGAGTCATATAGAAGTCAGTTTGCCAAATATAAATTCCCCTTTTCACTTTTTTTAATTTATGAGTTGGGAGTGTGCAGACTGCCATGTGTTTGTGTTTGCTGAAACAAAAAGCTGCTCAAGCAAAACAGAAAATATTTAATCAATTTAGGGATGTGTGTATAAAACTGCATATTCATCCACAGGTTTAAGTATTTAAATACTGTGATAATACTAAAGCCTTTAACCCATTGGCATTGATTTGCTCTTTACATTGGTGGGGACTTAGAAATCCATTCCCCACGTGTACATTTATAAAAAAAAATGACAATTTAAATATTTTTTCTTTAATTCCTCACTAAAAATAAAATGTTTTTTATTGTTATTTTAGGTATCATTATCAAAACAATCCATCTTATTTATTACAGCATTTTGTGAAACTATCAGTTATCAGACTGATGTCAACAAACACGGCAAGCTTAAAGTTGTGGTTGACCAAAAAATATTTTTAATGATTATTTCTGATTATAATTGGTCACCCTGAGTTTTTCATGCAGGCTGAACATGAAAATAATTTTCTACACCTATCTCCTGCATTAGCTTCTGATGGAAAATAGATGGTGAACTGCTAGGATCTGAAAATCCTCACACTGTGATGTCACACTGTAATTTGCATCCATGGCCTCGCACATCTTGGTTCGTGCCTGCCCACAGAAAGGCTGTGTTCTTTTTCCAGTGAGGTGAGAGAGCAGAGAGTGTGTTAGTGATTTTGACTTTGCAACATGACTGAATGTGTTCTGTCAGCCAATCAGATGCAAGGTGTGTGCATTTCATTAATAATAAGCAATCTTGCCGTTTTAGCCCACCTATGCACCAGCAAACTCCTGCATCTCAGAATAGGAGCATCATAGCTTCGTTTAATGACTCATTAAGCATTGATTTACACTAGAAGACACTGCAAATGTTTTGAATAAATTAATAAACCACACCTTTACATCCCACCATCATCTCTGACTAACTTTTTTTTTTGCCTGCATAATCTTTTCAATGTTTCTGCGTCATGTTTGTTTTCCTTGCTTTTCGTCCAGTGAGCTTCGATCCTTCATGGTACATTTTGTTCTGTTCTGATTTAAGTGCGAGGCAGATCCACTGATGGAGATGAGACACAGTTTGGGAAAAATGGTAGGAAGGCAAATTGAGGCAAGTCTGAGAAAAACATAGCTAATTCAAATTTAAAGCTATTTAAAGCAACTTCACAGCTCAGCTCTTTGTGCAAAAAGACTTGAATGTTTCAAGAGAAAAAAATATTTTATAAAACCTGCGAGTAAATGTCCGTTTTGAAAATTTCTTTGAGGACATGTTGTCCAATTCTGGTCCTTGATGACCAATATGCTGCATGTTTCCTGTGGTCCATGCTCTAACATCAGTTGGTTTACTTTATCTATGCACACATAGTCCTGTTCTGAGTCATAAGGAGACATGGGGAAAATCAGACACCACAGCAGTCTAACAGCTTCATTCTTTAAATCCTCTAGACACACATTCATGTTTTGAATGTAAACTTTTTGCTTGTGTTTGACCAAAAATGAGCTGAATAACATTCCATTAATTATTTCCAGAGCCTTGAACTGTGAAAAAATTATTTTTAGAAAGCTCCATGTGCTGATTTGAGTTTTGTTATACAGTCAGAAGATGTAATATTTAAAGAAATAATTTACACACACTTTTACACACAGTGGGCCCAGCAATCCTCTGCCTGCATGGTGGGAAGAACTCTGAAAGCACCAGAGAAATGACTGGTCTAGGAATGAGCTGATAATGAAGCCAAAGGTGCTCGTCATCTCTCAGCAACCGAAGTCAGGGTTTGATGTACCCGCATCACAGGAGGCACTTTACGTGACAAAACCAAACTCACGAGTCAGAAAGAGCACATCATTAATCACATCAAATAGTTATGATGCCTACAGCGTGGACTGTCATGTTCAGGTTTGGACCAATTTTAAATTGTGACTTTACAGAGAAAGATCTAAAGGTCCTGGTTTTAAGGGAAGTTTCATTTTAAAATGTTTCATCTCATAAAGGACATGTAGTATGTGTTTGAAATCAGATGTTTGTGTATTTATAGTCAGAAAGGATTTAGAAATGATGGTATGAAAACCACATTTTCTTTTGTTTATCCTATAGGTCACACCACATTCTTTGTACCTTAGAAATTACTTTACTTACTTGTAAAGATGTTTGCTTCTGTTTAAAAATCAACTCAAAATCTTAAAAGCTAAAACTGTGATTTTATTAATTTTTGATGTATAACAAAAATGTGTTAATGTAATTTGATACAAACCTGGCAGCAACATAGTAGAAACCACTTCAGCATCCTCCAACATGTCAATGACACAGCGCTGAAAATCTTTGCTGTTGTTGGACTGAAGGTAACTACAAATAAAAATAAAATAAAATAAGCATTGAAATAAATCAAATTGCTTCTTATCGGTCACTTTTAAGCATCATTTGACAATCCAAAAACTAATCAAAAACAAATTCAAACAGAATGGATGTCTTAAAGACAAAACCCTTAAAAATTTGTTTTGAAACAGGTCAAAGTAATAAAATTATATTTATCATATTGTCATCTATTCTCATATCTTCATTTTGTATAGACAACAATACATTTGTTTTGGGGAAGTCTTCTTGGTGCCTACATGACCTCATTGGGCTGCAACGGACATTCAGAGGTAGTTCCAAAAGGTCTCAAGTGTGTTCTCAAATTTCCTCCAGTGAGCTGCAGGGCCCTGGAGTTTTGTAAACAAGCTTTCTTTCAAGATGGGATGAGTCATTGTGGACCTTCTCCAGAACCCTCCTCGATTTGGTTTTAGTGAGACATGTGATACATTTGAGGCAACTTTTGGTTGGGTAGAGAAACCAAGCTGTGAAATAATCTGCTCAAAAAAGCATTTTATTATAATATTTGCTGTAGAAACAGAGTAAAGTACTCAAAAATAAAATACAAAGAACTTTCCATGGGATATAAAAAAGCATTCACACCAAAAAAAAAAAGATAATCAAACGTGAGAGATGCAGTTGAAAAAATAATGTTGATAATAGTCAATGCAAGCAGATGAACTTGCAGGACTCCGTAGCAGGTCAGGAAAAAATAATCCTCATTGATTGTTAAATAAAGCTCTTCAGATCTTTAATCTAAGGGTAGCAGATCAATGAGTCTGTGGAAGAGGTGTGAGGTCTTGTGCACCAACTCAGGTATCTTGTGCAGAGTTTAAGGCTGCCCCAGTGACCATCTCTGCTGCCTTCATAACCCTTTGCAGTACCCTTTTGTCTCCTGCAGTGCAGCTGGAGGAACCGCAGTGACATCAGCACACTCTACACCACTTCTCTGTAGCAGGTTATGAGGATGACGTGAGGAAGTTAAGCTTGCTGTAATGTCCTCATAAAGTGCTAGGTGGGGCTTCTTGAAAACTTCCATGGTGTTCAGTTTCTGGAGCAGTATAGTTAGAGCAGAGCAACAACACAGTCCACTGATAGGTTGACAGAAATACATCGCTATTTGCAACAAGCAAAACAAACAAAGTTTAGTTGTTTGTATTTTCATTAGTTGTGCATGGATGGGAAAAAATGCCAGCAAGTAGCAGCAAGTTTTGGTCTTCTTCAGAAATCCATACATTCCTTACAGTCATCGCAGAAGTTCACACTTAGGAGGAGCTAGATGGGTCAGTAAGGTAGTTTTTTTTTTTTAGCAGATGGCAGCTGAAGGATCCAAGTGGATGTTGAATAGTGTTGAGCCAGGCTAAAGAAATTAAAGGCCAATATAGAAAAGTCAAAGTCATTTTTGGAAAAAAAATGAGAGAAATACATGGAGGTGCTATGATGCACTGTATGATAGTTTTAGCCACAGACCAAGGCAGCAAGGAAGGCCTCTGGACTCAGTGACCTCACTCTGGAGTCACTTGTGGAGTCTGTTGTAAACAAGCTGCAGACCATTTATTGAGTTTGCTTTAAGTGTTGGGATTTTAACATAAATACTGATAGTATTCAACCCTGAATGTAATAACAATAGCAACAAAAACATTTGTTTGCTGAAAATTGGCCACCTAGGCCACAGCCTTACTAATTTAAAAGCAAAGTGCTTGAACAGGAAGATAGATTTATCCCCCTACACATTTTTAATTTTATGAAACAATAATTTATATGCATATTTAATTTATATGTTGTTCAAAGGCATTATTGGGGCCAAAGCAAAATAGACTAAACCAACTCCAAGTTTGCATTTTCTTTTAATTTTGTGTCTCCAAGTAGTCGCCGACGGTTACAACCCAATGAGACCACTGGTCTAGGTCAATAACTGTTAGCATTCTGTCTCATTCATGCATCAGCCTGAACCTTGGGACAATCAACAGACTTCACAACTGCTTTTTAAAACATCTGACCAAATTATGTATGTACGTTTGTATATGTATGTGTGTGCCTGCGCGCACTTGTCTTTATATGCTTAAGTTAACAAATTTTAACTTTTAACCTGTAGTGTGTAGACATTTCCACATCTGCCTGGTCTACACAATGGCAAAATACCCTTAAATGTGGTTTTAGAGGTATAATGGGACTTAACTTTTGGTTTAGATGAATAGACCAGCATTGGTTTTGGTTATAGTAAGGGTTGGGCATAGTGGAGTCACAAAAATGAATGGGAGTCAACGGAGGGTCCACACAAGGACACAAAGACAAGTGTGAGTGTGTGTGTGTGTGTGTGTGTGTGTGTGTGTGTGTGTGTGCAGACTCGTCTATACATCAAAGTGAAGACTAAGCTTTTTACCTGCAGACTGAGGACATTAGTACCAAAGTGAGGACATTTTGCTGGTCCTCACTTTGGTACAATGTTACAGAGCTCTCCTTGATCGATTTAGAGGTATGGTGTGAATTAAGTATCAGTAAAGGTTAGGATTAGACTGGTTATGGTTAGATTTAGGGTTAGGCACAATCCAGTCACTAAAATTAATGGAAGTCAATGACAGTCCTCACAACAAATGCATAGATGTGTGTGTGTGTGTGTGTGTGTGTGTGTGTGTGTGTGTGTGTGTGTGTGTGTGTGTGTGTGTGTGTGTGTGTGCGTGCACATGCACGTGCATATGCATGTAAATAAAAAAATGAGCCATCTGCTGGTGTTCCCTGGTGAGGAAAAATTGTATCAAGAAGGTAAAAAGTGACAAGAAGTCTGCAAATATCTAATAAAGACACACAATGTACTGACCTGATCCAGGTGATGCGGTCCTGCCAGAACTCATACAATATGTAACACGACTTTCCCGGGAGCTTTTGAACCGACACACTGACAGTGAGACAGAGAGGGAAAGTAAAGTGGAGCAAGAAGTAAAACAACTGAGAAGTGAGATACAGGACCCTTTTTTCTAGTCTTTAGGGAATTATCATATAAAATATGTCTGGGGAAAAGCAAGACAGTAACAGCTCTGAAAGAAAACTGTATTGTTTTGTCACTTTGTGAAACAACTAATGTATTTCTATTAAAAAAATATCAAATGGCTCGCTGGTTGAGATACCATAAAAAGAGCTGGGTAAGAAGTTATTTAAGTGGAAGGGTACAGTATATTAATATTGGACATAAAAAGTAAAAAAATCTTGACATTGTGGTGTACCCCAGGGATCAGTACTGGGACCCAGTTTGTTCAATTTGTACATTAATGACATTTTTGAAACATCTACATTACTAAAATTTATTTTATTTGCAGATGATACAAATATATTTGATAGCAGTGACAATTATCCAAATCTTATTAAAAAATAAATGAAGACTTGATTGTTGTCAAAAGATGGATGGACAGCAAAAAGTTGTCATTCAATTTAAACAAAACTAAAGCAATAAAATTTGGTAATCAAGAAACAAAATTTGAGTTGCCAATAAATATAGATGGTTTTCAAATTGAAATTGTTTAAGAAAGCATATTTTGGGAATCACAATAGACAGTAAACTGTCATGGAAACCTCACAAAACAAAAAATCTCAAAAAGTCTATCGATAATAAATAAAGCCAAGTCATTTCTTGATTGCAACACATTTCGTGTATTGTATTGCTCCTTTGTTCTCCCTTATTTTACTTATGGTGCTGAGGTATGGGGGAATAATTTTCAATGCTCCTTACAGCCTCTTTATATATTGCAAAAAAGAGCGGTCCGTATCATAAATAAGGTTGGATTCTTAGAACACACAAATCAACTTTTTTTTACAATCAAAATTATTAAAATTACAGGATAAAATTAAATATCAAACAGCTGGAATTATTTTCAAAACATTTAATAAACTTCTACCAAATAATTTACAAAAGCTATTTATAATTAAAGAGCTGTCACATAGCCTAAGGAGAGATAAAATATTTAAATTACCACTGGTGCAAACAAAATGTAAAAGCTTTTGTGTGTCTGTGTGGGGGATAAAAAATATGCAATAACTTAAGGACTGATCACAATGTCAAAATATTCAGATTTTTAAAGCACACTACAGAAGTAGTTTGGTTCAAATACATTACAAATGAGAATGGGCAATGATGTGAGTAAAGGTGTATGGGAATATATAATTAATGATATTGACAAGAACTGTTAAATTGTCTAGACTACCGTTATTATTATTGCTATGATTATGATTTTCTTTGGTCATAAGGTTGTTGAATTTGAGTTTTTTCTACATATTGAATGTTAAACTATTAGTGAAAAATAGGGGTGGGCTTGAATAAGCTTGGCTTCCGCCCACTCCCGTTCGAACATGCCTACAACAATGTCAACTTGATTTATTATTGATTTATCTTGTGAGGTTTATTATTGATTTATATCCTGTTGTTAATTGTGATGTTATTGGCATGTTGGAAATAAATAAATGATGATGATGATGATGATGATGATGATGATGATGATGATGATGATGATGATAAGAGCTCATAAAACAATAATTTAATTCCCTGCAGCAGTTTTGGCATGGCTGACACTCCCACCACCTGATTCAGCGTTGCTCAACAATGGGAAAGCCGCCACATCAGCAGAATCTAACACAAGGTTTAAAAGACCCATCATTTTATTTGGAAACACTCACTGCAGGTTGTCGGAGTGGGTCGAGGTGGCATCAACGTAACTGTTGAGAATTTTCCGGAATTTGTCAAGATCGTCATCAATCACAGACATCTGCCTCTGGACAAGCAGGATGTTCTGTTGGCAGAGTGACACGGAAGTGATTAGACTGGATTTCGTTTATGTTTATGTTTATTTATTTGGCTGATGCTTTTATCCAAAGCGACTTACAATTTATAACCTATAGGGCATGCTGTGATCTGTGGGGGAAACCAGAGTACCCGGAGGAAACCTACGCATGCATGGGGAGAACACGCAACTCCACGCAGAAAGGCCACGGCCGAGTTTCGAACCTGCGACCTTCGTGCTGCAAGGCAACAGTGCTAACAACTGCGTCACCATGCAAATGAATTTTAGTCATTGATTTAAGAAAAGAAGTGGTTTAAGTTTGACATTGGTGGTAAAGATATTTTGATATGAATAAGCTCACAATGACAGGGGTCAATGTGGGAGGACATAGAAAGAATTTAATAAGTGGTCTGGCAATGATCACAATAAGAAAACTGAAGGACGATGCAAACATCCCCTTGGGATATGTAGGCAGAACTTGTCCAGATGGAGACTTCCAAAAGAGATTTAATTGTGCCTTAAAATGTGCACATCTTAATCACTAAACACAGCTAACCCAAAAATAAACAAGTGGTATTTCACGTTTTATCATTCTCACACATTCAAATCCTGTTCGCCAATTTGATAAACAAAAACTCACCAAGCTGATAGAAAAAAACCTTTATGATGCCATGAAACCAATCTGATGAATTTCAGACTACTTTTTCTTTTTGTTCATACTATACCACTTTTCAAATGTGCAATCAGGTCATCAATAGCGCATTCTGTTCATGACTGTTCAATGAATCAAAGAAAGACATGATAGTCCATAGAACCTGTGCATTTCTTGAATCCAAAGATTTCATAGGAGAGGGCTGAAATCTGTGTGTTTTAATTTTTTGGGTCATTTAATGATCAGTTACAATAAGGCCTGCCAGCAAGTGGTGTCTATTGATTTATTCACTGTGGGCTTTGCTTTTCATTTAGTTTCATCCCTTGATCTTCATTTACTCAAAGTCATCACTGCCTCAAGTAAACACACTTAACAGGTCATTTTGACCCATCTTCCTTTTGTCTCATTAAGATAAAATGATGTTTACAATTTAAAAACTTTGTTGTTTTTATTTCTATACTAGTAATTAGCACGCTGTGGCCAGGACTAGTGAGTTTTGAAAGTTGCTTTGAAAATTAACCTGATTATGAGTCTGCGTAGAAAAACAAAATTTATTCGGCTCTGCAGCAAAAATAATAAGGAAGAAATTTTGTTGAATTTAGAATTTTTTTTTCAGCAGAGCAATAAAAATCAAAGGGTGCCAACTGTTGATGGAGACTCAGAAAATAGATGTGTAGTTAGAGAAGAATTGTTTCAGAAATGAGTCCATAGATTGAAATGACCACTATGAGGATGCCCACTGATTAAGTGTCTGTACGCGGTGTACTTTCTATAATTTGCTCAGCTGAAAACGTCAGCTTTCTCAGCACACTCTTATTTCTGCTGCTGAAATATTTTTAAAGACAGAGTGACTGAAACAATTCTGCCACAAAGGCACTGAATCATACAAATGTTTGAGAGCTGTTTTATCCTAATTGCATGCATTTTGATTTTTCTTCAACCTTAAAATGCTGCAACAGTTGAAAAAAGATGGTTTTAAATTTTTTGCTCTCCATCCAGTCAAACATTTTCTTCTGCATATCAAAGGTCAGGTCATTGAGGTAACAGGTCCAAAAGAAAACCCAAAACATCCCTCTAACCAGTGGCCTTTTTCAGCTTCGTGTACAAAGATCAGAAAGGATAAGTCATCCCTCCAATGAATCTGCCCGATGTTGTCTCTCAAAGAAATGTGCTGGGAAAACCTCCAGGAGGCAACCAGGGCCATCTCAATTAGATGCTTGAACCAGTTCAGCAGAATTCTTAAAATGTAGAGGAGCAGTGGATTTACTCCAAGCTCTCCCCTGATGAGGGATCTTCTCATCTTTTCTTTACAAGCTTTGCCCAACCCCACCGAGGAAGCTCATTTCAGCTGCTTGCATACAGGATGTGACTGTTTTTAGCATTGAATCTAGGCAAAATGTAGAAATAGTAGAAGAATTTGCTCTGCAGGCCAGTCTAGCCACACGTCACTGTCTGCTCTGCCGGTCTACCATTGGCTTGACTAAATTGTGGCCAGGACAGTCACAGTGCTCTATGTTTGTTGAGACACTGGGTGGGCTTGGCCTCATTACAGCACTGAGGCTAAAGCCTAATTAATATTTCTCCATCAGCTCCTTAAGGGAGAAACACACTCGCACTGACAAAAAAGTTTTCCTCTTGGATTTCATCATCAGTAGGGGATTATTGCAAAACAATTCTCCGCCAGGGCAACAGAGGGCGTAGTGCTATTCTGCGGTATCCTGCCACCATTACAATAACGTATCTGGTCCATGATAGTGTATTTTCTAATGTGTTTACATTGTTTTAATGTATTTCCGAGACTTTTGAACACAAACAAATTTGTCCACCATCAACCTTTTCATGCAATCTGTACCTCTAACCTAAAAATTCACATCTTTTCTGTCCATGAATGAAACATTTTATTAATTTCTATGTACTCCTTCAGTCATGGGTGAATAAACGTAACTGTGTTCAGACCTTTTCCGCAATGCTTTCTTCAATTTGTTTGGCTGCAGCTAAATATCTTTTACATTTTGAGGGGGTCAAAGGTAAAGCTGTTGACTAATTTACAGGAATAAGTTTCCTGACCAATCGCAGGCTTTTGAACACTGTCACTTTTGACAAATAGTTAAAAATTTGGGCATGTCTCCATCACCCTCTGCGACTTCATCGGGGACTTGCATGTCTCAATTCTGACGCAGATGGAGAAGTATAAATTGGGCTTAACAACAAAAATGGCTGCGACTCAGGAATGATGCTTCTTTGAAACTGTTTTGAAACTTTAGAGGATTTAGATTTGGGACTTTTTTTAAAACATGAGCAGATAGAGGTACTTCTTTTTCCAATGGTGCATGGTGGAGTGCCCCATTGATTAATTTGTGTTGCTATAATTACGTCACGTAGTTGATTGATTGATTCTAGTGCTGTCCAATTGCTTGTAAAGACAGTAGATTCAGCCAATGTGACTGAGATCTGTCCTTGGGTTGTGGCCATCCTATATATTTAAATATATAGGATGGCTTGCCAGGCTAGTTGTTTTTGGGTGTAATTTGTATTTTGAGATTCGCCATCCGGGTCAGTTGCTGCTTTTCTCCTTGAGGCACATGTGCAGTAATGGCCACCCAGCTCAGCCTTCAGATCACTGGAGACAAGACATCATGGCGAGTCATCAACTTAACTCAAATGTTTGGGAGCATTTGCAAAGACAAAAGAGAAGCAAGTAGAGTAAAGAAAATTGCAAGTGAAACTCTCCCTTCTCAGGAGCGCAATGGCGATGCATAAACACCTTAAAAGGAAGCACATCATGGTAGAGAACAAAGAGGGACAGTCACCTCTGTAAGTTAACTACCTCTAGTTACCTCTAGTTAGTTAGCTAACATCAAAAGGCAGTAACTTGTATTCATAGCTATAACAAAAACAGTAGTGATGGCAATTTTATTACCTTTAGCACATGTATGTCACGCATTTGCTCTAACATTAAAAAATGCTAATGATTTATTCTATCCCGCTACGTTACAGAGCTAAGAAAAAGTGTTTTTCAATGGATGATTTTGTAACAAAGCCAACCACGTGCACATCTCTGAAAGCAAAAGTCCTGTTAGAGGCGATTTTGAACATGTTTGTCACAGACATGAGACCCCTGTCCATGGTTTGCGATCAAGATTTCAAAGACATGATCAAGCAGTTCAACCCAGAATTTATGCACGGCATAACTAATCGCTCAAAAAATCTGGTGATTAGTCAACTACTAAAATAATCGTTTGTGGCAGCACTAATATCTACATCATCTGAAGAGGGTAAATTCTTCATTCTAGAAATGAAAATGAGGGCCACAAAAATTGTGCAGAAAGCTACAAATGGCTAATGGGCCTCATTTTGGTCATGGCTGCCATGGACAAAATGTTGAGGGGCATGGTCGTAAGCCTTCTGCCAGGTTTACAAAGCACATCCAAACCACACCTAGCCTGGGATGGGCCCTGTTGTGTCTGTTACAAAGTTCCAATGCCACCTAAAAGAAATATGAAGCTAATAAACCAATCCAATCTATTTTCTCCTGTTTGAAAACTACATGTAAACATTAAAACAATAACAAGAAACATTTAAAAACTGGAGATTTCAATTGTGCACCACTCTGATCTATGTGGTTCTATCAAAGTCTACAGAAGGCAAACAGTTAATAATAAAGTTTATTAGATCAGTGTCTCACAGTGTATCTTATAACAAATGTACAAGATATCATGCTGCGCAGCTGCCTTCTCAAATCTTCAGACAAAATAAACAACTGTGACTAAACAGTTGGGAACTTATGTTCATGTGAGATGACTCTGAGAAAAAGATGAAAAGGACAGAGCAAAGATTTCACTTTGATCCCTGAGAAAATGTCAGGCTCATTAATAAAACCAGTCAAGACATCAAGATTTGTTTTAGATCCAGCTGTCAGCCCAGGAGCTCAGACAGAGATGGGAATAGTAGGGAAAAATCAAATGAAAGGAAAATAACTGAGTTTTAAAGTCTTACATCAGGAATCTGTCTGAGATATGGCGGGAGTATATGTGTGATAGAAGGGAAGATAGACAATTTAGGAAGTAAGGGAAAAGTCATCAGATTTATCTTTTAAAACATGATTCGAGTGCAATCCAACACTAATGATGAGGTGATTGTGGTATGCCCTAATGGTGAAGCCAGCACTACTATCAGGCTGGTGAACCCATGTGATAGGACAACTGCGGCTTAGAGACTTGTATTCAGCAGCAAGGGGGCATGCCCACGAAGCCCCGCTTTAAGGCTTGCTTCAGTTTGCAGAAAACTATTTGACTGATGACAAACAAGGCCTTGTTTAAACTGGGCCACGTGACTGTGTTATGTTTCAAAATAAAAGCAGCAAAAATTCAGGTGCTTTGTGAGTACTTTGTTTTAGTTTGGACTGTGTTAATCAGCATTTCAAGTGGTTAAGCTTGTAGAAAAAATAGCTTTTAATAGTATTCCAATTTTAATTCAAGAGCCTTAACTGTTTTAAAAAATGGTTCAAGTCCAATTAATCATTTGACCATTTGTAGATTGGGAATTCAGATTAAAACTGAAGGGTTGGTTGGCAATAGCGTATGTTTATTGTCAATCTCTGTTCTTTTTATAGTTGCTCTTTAAAATGTATGTTGTCTTAAATGCATGAGGACTATAGACTGAAAGCAGCCTATGGCTATGGTGCATTTACACCAAGTAACTACTGAGTGTTCATTATTGAACATTGTTCTCTCCAAATAAAGTAATAAACTAAACTTATTTGGTGTTGGTAGCATTCTTATCATTTTGTCACCGTGACTTGTATTATGGTGTCATCTGATGTTGAGGGATATGAAACTTTTGGTCTGTTCATGGGGGGTGTCACACAGAGTTTTTTTTCAATCACTGAGAAATGAAAATGAAGAAGAAATTATTTTTTTGTATATAGCATCTCAAGTTGAAAGTCATGAGGTGCTTCACAAGACCAAAACAATATAAAAAAACACTGGAGAAATTGTTTTGGCACAAAGTGATATGTGACTATAACCAGGGAGAATCTCCAGAGCAACAAACAAAGATGTAAGGTAAACAGGGGCTCTAAATACACTCAGGATGCCGATTACTGAGTGAGTGCAGGTGAGTAATTACAGATGGAAGGCAGGTGTGAGTGGCAGGTAAGGTAGGGAGAAGGTGAGGGAAAACAAGCACCATAAAAAAAACATAATTAGAATTTAAACGTCTAAAGCCATAAATAGCCCCAAAACTACTAAATTCTGATTTTGTAATCATAAAAGTTATATTTTTTACAAATCATCTAGACAAATTGGCTGTTCATGTTTAAATTGTTAAAGTTTAGAGATGATGTGTGGTTTTAATATGTGTAATATATCTTCGTTATGATTACTAAACCTAAGCATGTAGGAAACAACATTTTCCTGGATTTTTCCACCCAAAAGATACATTTACTGATTAAAAAGGTTTATTCTGTCAGCACACTACAAAAGCAATGCAGGTTTTAAGTGGAATTTATCCAGTGATCAGATTTCTGCAACACATTTAAAAATGTCTATAGGGCGGTTCTATTTGCATATTAACATACTCGGTAAATGCAAATATATATATTTTTTTATGTTTATTTTTTACTTCTGATCCTTCATGTTCAGAATAGCGGAGAGGAAAATCCCAGATGCTGACTTACAGACTTGTACGTGCTGGCCAGTGAATCCTCCTTTAGCGGCTCCAACTTTGGACCCTGAAACGAGATGGTAGGAAACATGAGAAAAAAGCTTGTGGCTTTTTTCAAGGATTTAAAATAAATCAGTGCAACTGACCAGATTATTATGAAAATAATTTTTTTAATGTTTGCAGATCAATAACTTAGAAAAAGAGAGAAAAATGGGTTTGGATTAGATAACTCACTTATTTTCATTTTTATTTATTGTAATATCATTTGAATAGGAAGAGCTTTTTTTTCTTTTCATGAGAAAATTCTACTTTTCTGTGGTTTAACATCACTTTCTCTAGAGCTAAATCACAGTCTGTTTTGTCTAAATGACCAGAATGAAGCAATGCTAAATGATTAGATGCAAAATGGAAAACAGAATTCCTGAAAAAAAGGTAGAAAATATGAAACCTAAAAATGTTGCGACCATATCTTTGGCATTTCTGAAATTGGTGAAAGTATTATGAAAGGAGACACAATATGTGCAATAACAGAAACAGTTGAAGGTTGAAAACTTATTGTGTTTAATTTGAGAGAGCAGCAAACAAGAGCAGAGTGTAGGTGATAGTATAAGCGTCAGGATGCTGGGATGGATATTGCTCTGAAAACATCCTGCAGGTTATGAACTACTTTGATATTGCACTCCCAGTCCCTCTGGCTTGACAAAAGAGGGAGACTGAAAGGAGGACAAGAATGAGCATCAAAAGGTGGAAAAAACAAGAGTTAATAAAGAAAAAAACAGCCACAGAAAGATAAAGAAGGAAAGCGTGAAAGAGGTTTGGGGATGGGTGGTGAGAATCGGTTATGGTGTGAGAGCAACGGGGTGGCTGCACTCGGTGTTTGACAGAAACACCGATCTGCACAGCTGCCCACAAAGAACCCAGCATTTTTTATGCACTCATTATTCTTTTGAATGCACACAGAATGAAAAATGCATGACATAATCAACAACTTAAATGGCACCACTGTGTGAAAACACACTCCAGGTTGTTTTCGACATCCCTACTGAAACCTTTGGAGCTGAAAATTGGCACTTTGTTCCAAACAGAAAAAAAACTATAGCTGCAGGTAAACAGTAGTTACACGTGTTTCTGTGTCGCCTCACTGATGATTACAAAGATAGAACTCCACTGGTGTTTATGTAGTCCAAAAATGCATCTCATAATTAGAACAATAATTTTTCCTTGCCCTAAAAGGATTTGTGCAAACTCTTGCATTAGATATATATTATATGCATATTACCTTCCCATAGTTATTTTTTAACTTCAGTTTTATTCATTCATTTATACGCATGGAAGAATTATGCTTCAATTGTATTCAAGATTGAACATAGAGACATGCATCTGATGAGTTTATCATGAAATAACAACTGAAACACACTTAACACATTACTGGTAATGCTAGCAAGAAAACTTTGAAGAGACATTCTCACAAACAGATGAAAAATGGGATGTTTCTTCCAGTTTGACCTATTTGTGGCTGTATTCTGCTGTTACCCTTCATGCCCAACCTGGCATTGTTGCAATGACCTTTCTTCCAGATCTGTGTCCAGGCAGATAAATGTTGACTTAGCCATCCATGCCCTTGCTGCAGCGTTTTATAAACACTTTTATTCTTGTAATATATGATCAGCTGACTGCTGTCAGAGCCACCCAACAGTTTCTAACACTACACTCCTTCACATCTGCAAAATTAGCCACATAATTCAGATTAATAATTATTTTGTGTTGCTCTTTTTTGCCAAATACATCATAAAAAATATATTTTTAGTTCTCAGTTTTTATTAATAAAGGGAGGTACCTGACATTCCAGTTTATCCAAAAGTTGCTGTAGCCGGTTGATCTGAGAGCACCAGTTCTCTCCATCTTCCATGCTGACACCTGAAGACAATAAATCAATAAATAAATAAGTACATAAATGAAAAAAATATATGTAACATATGCAGCTACCTTGTTTACGACAGTTGTAATATCACTTTCAACCAGTAGGATGGAGGAGCAGGAAACTGCTCTGCGTTACTTTAAATAATTGAGATGTGGAGTCTTGCCTACTCAATTATGCACAGAAATAGTAGTATCTCAAATCATGTGCTATGTTAGAAAAATGTGCATATGAACATGGAGTAGCAAGGTAAAAGCTATATGAATCCACTTGAAGTCAACTTCTAAAAAACATAATTGACGATTTAACGATGTAGCTACAGCTGCCCTGGGGTGCACTGAAAAAGGCAAGGCCTGCCAAACACTGGCGCCACCAGTCCCTCCGACCACCACCAGAAGTACTGATTTATTTGTGATCATTTAGCCGAACGCGGGAAGTGGGACCAAAAGCATCTGAAATTGAAAAGAGTCTTAAGACAGATATTTTCAACTAAGATAACTCATTATTTTCAAAACTGTTGTATTTTGAAATGAAGCTAAAAGCTGTTATTGATATTGCTCACTAAAATTTGAAAGACTTTGAGGCATGTTTGCAGTGTTTTCTTACAAATGTGCCTCTCTAACACAGCAGCTGCCCTCCTCTAAGATTAGTCTAGGACCTCCCCTGTGAAGAGCTCGTGAAGCTGGCTGCTACATTTTAAGCTGGTTTGTATCTCTCACTGAAAGCTTCTGTTGTTTTTTTTTTCTTTTTAAGCAAAGTAAGGTGTTCTACTCTGCTAAAATATGGCCCTGTCACAAACCACTGTGTATTCAGTCAGCTGCACTGTTCAGGTAGGTGGCATGTGTCAAAGTAAGATCTAAATGACTGGCAGGACAAGGTTTTCCAGGAGAACTTTGCCTAAAGCAGCACTCTCTCTGCTGGTTAGCCTTCGTCTCTTTCCTGGTGACATATTTAAATAATTAAAATACTATTTTTAAATATCAATGTTGAAAAATCCTAAAACTTTTGAGAACCTATGAGCAAAAGATCAAAACAAAATTGGTGCAGAATTATTGAAAATAGGGAGAAATATGACAGCATGGATAAGTTCAGGTGTTAAATTATTAATGTTGAAAAGGTTTCAGTTCCAGATGCAGCACAGTTTCTTCACAATCTCTGCACTTCTTGCAGGTTTGAGACTTTATATCCATTCTTGTAATCCTACAGAGTAAGAAATGAGGTTTCAGATTATGTTAAACAATTAAAACATGCTGTGATTCCTGTGGTTGAAAGCTCTTTAGAGAAAACAAACTGTTTCCTATAATGATGAGAATCATCCATGTGTGCACCTCAGAACAGTTTACGATAGTGGCAGGTACTAAGAAACATGTCTCATTACTGAGAAAATTTGTAGCAGTAAAAAAAAAATTATTATAACGGAAATGTTAATTGCACAAAAGATGATAATTAAAATGAACAAAAGTTCCACCAGACGACCCAGAACTAGGATAATTAGAATTAGCATGTCCAATTTAGTGCATAAAATGTTTCATTAATGAACATAATTATGATATTAAGAGTCTGCAGAGTCAGAGAATAATATCTAAAATCTGTTTTGCTTTCTGGTTTTCTTCCTCTTTACCCTTTTAGGCATAATTTGATGATTTTTTTTACCAGTGGTCAGGGTGGCAGAGCAGGAATCTCTCGGGGGTGGGTTGTTTTGGACCTTGTGGCCACATCTCCTGCCGTTTCTCTGTCCCGCTGTCAGCTCCGGAGTCTTTACCTCACTCCTGTCATGACAGCAGCAGAAAGCCGGGGAGATAAACATTAGAAGAAGACAGCAGCTGTCTGAGGAGTGTGGAGGAAATCAAGTAAACACACGACAGCAAGGTGGAAAGAAGGTGACAAAATGGGAGTAAAATTAGCAAAAGGAATGATAGAAAGACAGAGAGAGGTGTAGAATGATGAAAAATAACACATTTACAGACACAAACTCTGTGCTTAGGTCATCTGGCCAGTTGGTCCTGGAGGTGCCGAGTACTCGACATAAACTTAGGGGTGATAACTCTTTTGCAGCTGCTGCAACAAAACTTTGGAATGAACTACCAGCACCGGTTAGAGAGGCACGTCGTTGGAAGCTTTTAAATCACGCTTAAAGGCCCAATTTTATGGACTGGCATTTGGCCCAGTATGAGTTGTCTTCACTGAAAGTTATTATTATTATTATTATTATTATTATTAATAATAATCTTTGTACTTATTCTGTTTTTTACTGTGTAATTAACTAAAGTTATCTATCTATCATCTATCTATCTATCTATCTATCTTCTATCATCTATCATCTATCATCTATCTATCTATCTATCTATCTATCCATCCATCATCTATCTATCTATCTATCATCTTTCATCTATCTATCTATCTATCTATCATCTTTCTTTCTTTCTTTCTTTCTTTCTTTATCTAAAATAAGAGTCAGAGACCCAAAAGTGTGAAAACTTAAAGGTCTGTGTAAAAATGTCTTGTGCACATTTGCTTTGTCTTGCATTTTTTGTTGCAAATGTGCATGCTTAGCTATAATCTGGTACGTGTATCTGTTTATTGTTTATGTACAAAAAAAAACAAAGGTGTGTGTATGTGTGTGTGTGTGTGTGTGTGTGTGTGTGTGTGTGTGTGTGTGTGTGTGTGTGTGTGTGTGTGTGTGTGTGTGTGTGTGTGTGTGTGTGTGTGTGTGTGTGTGTGTGTGTGCTACATTTTGGGGACACTTTTTCACTTTTAACCTAAAATGTGGGGACATTTGGCTGGTCCCCACAATAAAAAACCCTTTTAGAGGTATGGTGGGATCTAAAAATTAAAGTCCCAATAGTCATCACACATTGATAAAATTTGTTCTCCACATTTGACTTACAGTATGCCCTGAGGGAGCGATTTGCTGCAGACATGGCTGTGCTCCAGAACTATTTGGTGGTTTTACCCCCCGTTGAATCCCTTAAGTGTCAAGCGAGGAGACATTGGGTCACATTTTTTCCACAGAATGATCCGACTGTGGATTTGAAGCCACAATCTTGCTATCTCAAGGTGGAAACTCATACCACTTGGCCACTGAGCTAGTGAAACAACTTTAATTTAGGATTAAGAATAGGAATAGCTCTGTATTGGTTAGAGTAAGGGTTAGGCGTAATGCAGTCACTAAAATGAATGGAAGTCAATGACAGGTTCCCACAAGTAGCAATTTGTGTGAGTGTACTTGTACTACATAAAAAAACAGTATTTGCAGCAACATCTGAATCTCTGAAAGCTCCTGTCATCTGTCAATAAAGCTGTGTTATCAGTACTTACGGGGCTGGGCTGCTCTGCTCCTCCACAGCCTCCATGGCAAACTGAAGAGACGTCTGTAGAGACAACAGCTGGCTGGACGTCTCTCTTAGCATGAATCTGGTGACAAACTGACCCAACACGCTGGCACCCTGGTACTCCTGACAGAGAGGGGTACGCACAACAGCAAGTTACATACAAACACTAACAAAAAGCTGCTCAAAAGCAGGTGAGACCATAGAAAAGATGATAAACAAAAACTGATTTAATAAGGGCTCTGCACTGTAAAACAGTGGTAGTTAAATGGGTCAATTATTGCTCAGAACATGTAGAATAATCAGAACTCTATCCAGATTCCAAGGTGAAATAACTTAAATAGCAGAGATAATTGCTGCTTGATTCCCTAAACAATAGGATAACACATTATCCAAGGATTTATATTCATGCAACGTGCTAATGAAGCAACAACACATGGAGCTTGCTGTCAGAACTTTGAGTGACTTGTAATCTCTGCAGAATTTGCATCCTGGGATTATCAGTCCACGGCAGCAACAACCTACAGCTGCTGGTGGGAGAGTGCACAATGCTCTGTGGATTTAACCACTTTAGGAAGAGCCAGAAGTTAAAAGAAAGGTTATCAAATTATGCCAAGAAGCTTAATTATTCTGAGCTGATTGACTTGAATCATTTTAACACATTTCTTCTGGACAATCTGTGACATTTAATAGATTAAATATCAAAACATATTCACATCAGGATCTGATGTCACCGGCCATAAAATTCTATTATTAGTATTACTATTAATTAATATTCCATATATATATATATATATATATATATATATATATATATACATACATGTATTAAATGTAATGTTATGTCCCCTCTGACCATCCAGGAGGGTGAGGGGACAAACAGTGAAAATCAAAGGAGGTCTATACTGAGATATAATAAGGAAGTGTCCAGTGGTCAAAGTAAATGGTTTATTAAACAAAGTTGTTTTGTACAAAGTAAACAGAACAGCAAAATGGGGACTAGCTGAAAGCAACTCCCTGTTTTAAAAGGGAGGAAAAACCAGAAGCCAAAGAAAACTGATTAACTACAGCTAGTAAACAAAAAAACATGCTACAAAGGCCTACAGCTTATTTAGCTCACAGGTTATCACCATAACAAAACCAAAATCTCTTCACTAAAAGTCCTCTGAAGAAACACCAAATAAGTCACTGAAACGAAGGACTAGAGATTCAACTCAACAACAACAAAGTCTTTTCATAAACCAGCAGTTTAGCCTTAGCTAGAGCTGCACACAGGCATAGGAGAATCACAGACTAGCTCTGGACCTCACTGAATGAAGGCTGGCGTCCAGTTTAAATGTCCTTAGGAGAGAAAGATGGCAGATTGGGTTCAGCTGCTGTGGCTGGCGTGCCTCTCTCCAAGGTTCTGAAGTGAGGGTGAGGGTCCCTCTGGAGCTGCCCCTGGTGCTGAAGCTGTATTGTGGGGACACGGGGTGCAGGTAAACCATGAGGCAGAGGAGCCAAGATGCGGGAACTATATATATATATATATATATATATATATATATATATATATATATATATATATATATATATATATATATATATATACTGAATATTACTGAGTAGTTTTAATTATTATTTCAAGTACAAATATACTAGTTTTGCATATAAAATTAGTATATTTGTGCTTTTAATTGTATTCCTTTAACAATCAGCATCAAAATTAAAGTAATATTATGGCCTTTGGTAACATTTAAAACCAAAATATTGTATAATGATGATGAAAACAACAAAAACATTTATTAAATATAAGGATTAAAAAGAGATCATGAAAAATGAGAAGTTCCTGCTAATTAAACTCATCCATTATCTCTTTTTCAGGATGAAAACAAAATCATCCTTCAGAATCTTGTGAGCGAGGTGAATGCCATTTGTCAGTAACAGACAGGTTTTCTCAGAAGTTGCATCACAATCTGCATATTCTGTAGACTGAACACAATCAAGAACCACTGGGCCCTTTGAAGTGAAGTGGGCAGATTGTGTTTCAGCCACTGGCTGCAATACTAATCAGCATCTTTGTCCATCTGCAGCAGATTTAGCAGCAGGGAAGGACTAGACAAGCTGGGCTGCAGGGAGGAAACAAAGATCTGAGAATGTTCATCAGTTATGGCGAGAAGGGTGACCCCCGTTTCATGCTGAAAGCATCAGCGGCATGTAATGACACTGCTTCAAATAGAATCCATTATAGTCTGTGGATTGTTTCAAACCAGCAGCGACGCGGCAATTTCCAGGTGCGTCCCAGAAGCGACATGCTGCGCCGCTAAAGATGGGATAGGGTTCTATTTGTGCCATAAGCCGCTTTTGGGACACACCAATTTCCACAGCTAACATAGGGCTAGAGAGGAAATCACACATGCTTTCAGTGTAAAATCCTTGGTAATTTTCAAAATAAAAGTACTGCAGCGATGCAGTTTCATATATATGAAGCTTACGTGTGACCTAACGGCTTATTTACTCACAGCATCATTCCAGAAGTGCAGCAATGTGTTTTCATGGCTTTAATCCTGACAGTAGAGAGGAACAACATCGCATATGACATCAAACAGTGATATCAAACGTGATTTCCTTCTTTTTGGTTTAATGGCAGGTTACATAAACAAACCGTGACCTGAAGTCTCAAGAGATCTTGTGATCTCGCAAGTCCAGCAAAGAGCGCAGTGAGGAAGCTGTGCCGCTGCCAAGACTCTCCCAGTGTGAAAAGGACCGCTTTGAAGTTTGCGAGTAAACCGTTCCGCCGCCGTTTCATGCAGCTGATGCTTCCAGTGTGAAACCGAGGTGAGAAGAATCCTGCATATGTACATGTATATTAATGTGTCCAACATGAAACATTAGACTCTGTTGGGATTTTCTCACTGTAAAATTCTCACTATATTACATACTGCACCTTTAAAGGGTGAGCAGTTATAGTGCAGAAGGTGCAGCATAAGAAACATTCCTTCAAATGCTGATGAATACATGAAAGCTTTCCATTTTAATTTAAAAATTACTAGAGATGGGGCCCATTTGAGGTCATAGGATAACACTAATTAACCTAAAATCTTACCTGTTTGGTTTTATCCATTGCTTTTAAAATGACAATATTCAGACTCTCCAGAGCTGAGAGAACGTTTAGATATTCCCCAAGGTGCTGAGAGAAATAATCTAACAGGAAAATAAGAATAAAATGGGTTAATAAAGTATCAGAAAACATAAATGATATTTTAACTTCCAGGGAAGTCAAAACATTACAAATGGGAATATCTTATAAATAAGAGAGAAAATAAGAGTTTGACATGATCAGTAGGTGGAAAAATTAGATGTTATAAAATGTGATGATGATGACAGAAGCTGAATACAAAACTCCTACACAGCTTTCATTTGACATGGAACTAAAAGTTGGGTGTATTTAATACTTGTAATTAGCCAAAGTGCATAAAAAATACAAAAGTGAAGCAGTGACATTTAATTAGGTAATACTAATGCCTTATTTTAATCTATGGAGGCCTTTGTGCCATGTGAATCACTGTCAACTGAGGTTAATAAAGGAACAGTCTTTGCTCTTTGATTTTAAACCTTTAATTCATTTAACTTTAACACTCTAAAATAAACCCAGCTTAATAAATGATAAATGTTCAGAGATCTTAGATAAAAGAAGCATTCTGCCGTGGAAAACTGGCAACTTTTTCCCAACGTCAAATGGAGAAGAAGCCATTCCTGTTTGATTAATAATGCAGAAGCTTTATTCTGGGCAAAAGTGGTATTTAAAAATTCTGCGACCCAATTCTTGACTTTATTCAGGACATCTTACATACACTCTCTCTGTTTATAGCTCAGAATCTGCGACTAAAAGGTGAATGCTGCTATATGTGTGAATATCAAGAGACCACCAGTATATGGCTGAGTTAGTTATCACGAGCTATAAATATTGAAACAGCTGCCCGACTCTTTGCCGAGTAAATAAAATTTGCTTGCCACCATCTCAAGCACAGATCCCCGTGAATGTCAGGGGAAAAAAAGCTCTGCAGAAATCCATGTCTGCCGACATTTTGCATTAAAATCAGACAAAGTGCTTCTCTACCAACCTGATAGCTTGTCAGTGTCCAGATTGCTGCAGGGCAGAACACAAGAGGAGATAAATGAGGAAAGTTAATTAGGAAAACTCAAAAAGGAGCTGCTCATCATTTCTGCCTGAGAGATCTTTGGACTCTTATCTATGAGAATATTACAGCATTATTCGGAGGAAGGCTCACACAAAACTTCAAACCAGAAAAACCAATTATTCTTCTGTGCACACAAATTATTAGCCTGTTCACTAAAATTATAGCCCATTTATTCCATGTCAGTGTTAAACTGTCGGTCAAAAACACATGCAATCATTGATTTTTTGTTTTAAGTTGGTGCACTGCTGGACAACGAATATTTATTTATCAGTCTAATAACAGCTCTAGAGGCACTAAAACAGCTTTTAGTGTCACAGCTTGAATAAATGTTGCACCATGCCACCATCCCTTCATAAAAAACGTCCCCTGTTGCTTTAATTGCGTGTTACGGGTCATTTTCTGCATGTCGAAGTTTCACTGCGAACCAGGATGGATGCTGGTTAATGGCTTGTGCAACGTGAAAGGTTAAAAGTGGCGTCTGCACAAAACAAACAAAACATTTTGGCAGTCCTGTTCAGAAGCTGTTCTCCACTCCCTGATTCAGACTGCCAGCATAATAAACAAAAAGGATTTTCTCTTTTTTAATTAGACCAGAGGGAATGTTCTCTGCTCTAACATCACGCATCATCACTACTATTAAACTGAGGTTTTAGATGTTACCTTTTCTCTATCATTGTGAAATCTAATTCATGTTTTCTTGAGGGTAAGACCGATCTTTGTTTTAATTCAGCTTCAACAAACTTCTTTAAAAGATTCTGTTTAGAGCTGGGGTATGTGGTTTAAAATGTTCAATGAATCCTAAAATTATATATAATTTAGACTACCTGACCCTTTTCTATAATATAAAGTAGATAATCAATTTCTACAGCAAAATAAATAATTTACGCTTCCAGTTTATTATAATATTCTCAAGATGGAGCTGTCAATCAGTGATAAGTTCCTAGCATCTTAGCACAGCAACCTAGCTTGAGTGATAACTCAGCCTGCATTTAATTAATGTCAATTTGTAAACTTCTAACTAACTGTGGAAGATAAAGGAGGGGAACAACCTTATGCTACATCACACTATTGTTTTAGCCTGTTGTAGCATTAGCAGGGGGAAATCACATCTCTCTTGTTTTAGCTTCACTACACTGTCCATATGTTAAATTCAGAATAGATTTAAAGATCCTCCTTCTCACATATAAACCTCTTAATGATCAAGCTCCATCATCAATCCATCATCAATCTGATCTTTCCATGTGTTCCTAACAGAGCACTTTGCTCTCAGACTGCAGGTTCACCAGTGGTTCTTAGAATATCTAAAAATGGGAAGGGAGGCAGATCTTTTAGTCATCAGGCTCTTCGCCAGTGGAGCCAGTGGCTTTAGTCTGTGAGGCAAACACCTTGTCTACTTTTAAGACTAGGCTTGAAACTTTTTTATATGCCTTATGGGTAAATTTTGATGTTAGTCCAGGTTTGGACTTTTCATATTTTTATAAAGAGAAAATATAACAAGCACAAGAATATTGTTCATATAAGTCTGCCGGTGGGGACTGTGAGGGGGCTATCAAACTTTATGGGTGGCCATTGCCCCCCTCCCCGCTTAAACCTAGGGTTACCACTTACAAAAGCTTCAGAGAATCCTAAAGGTTTATCAAAAACGTGTCTGCAAATTTGATCTCAGATACATGTTTGTATATGACAGAGTTTGTTTTTATTCTTTTATGTATTTTACCTGGACTCAGTCACACAATCTGGCAGCCAAAAACACCAAAACCTCATTTAGAATTATAGTTTTGTAAAAAGGTGTGGAGGGCAAAAAGTCCCCAAATTGTCTCATGAATACAAATTTCCAATCTGCCAAAGATAATAAAGAAAAGTGGCTTCGGAAACAGAGCAGAGCTTAAAACGATTGTATACTGTATACCCCGACAGGGGAGGAAAAGGCCTGTTTCTTTCTTTTGCTGCTGTGAACTAAACGTTCACTGCAGACCGACTTCTGCAGCCACCCTCAGACTGATTTCTTTGATTGCACTTTCAGAGGGGGGAGTTTTTTGAAGTGACTGAGATAGTCGATAGGTTTTCATGTTTAGAGGATGGAGGCTGCACAGCAAATGTGAAAGTTCAGAATTAACACTTCTTCAGACTTTATATGGGAACCACTGCTTCTGTGTTAAACCAACACTTTTAAAAGAGTTAATATTTTAACACCATTTTAGTGTTGATGCAGAACTCTGCAGGTGTTAAATTTTAGCACCAGCAGTTTACAAAATATACCAAATTACTGTTTAAACTTTACATGTAAACACTTGTTGAGTTAAATTTTTACACCAAGACAGTGTTAGCCTAACTCTCTAAAGAGTTCATTTCAGTAACCCGTACACTACAACCAGTGTTAATTTTCAGAGTCAGTTAACACTCAAGTTATTAATCACCACCATGATTTAATGAATTTCAATACTTTTCAGTGTGCCATGCCAGGAAGCTGCCAGCTACACTAAAATCACTGGCTAACTCATGCCGTGTACACCTCAAGACTGCAATCAGTCAGTGGGAGAGGATCACAAGGAGTAGAGTCCTGAGCACGTAGTATGAAACATGCACAACTTTTTTAATGTGATAGTGGAACACACAGCGGTCCCATTCTTTTGATCGGCCTCCTCACTTACGGTACAAACATGACATAACCAGCAAAACCACATTTGCAACAGTGAACAAAGTACTAACTAAGAACAACACAACACCCCAAAATAGAAAAAATAACTACAAACATGACTACCCACAATGCACCTCGCCCACTGCAGCTCCTACAACTCTCTGCAGCCAATCGGTCACCAGTCCAACTTTTAGAATAAAAGTGTGGAGTCTACGAATGAACTCTGCAGGTGTTACAGCTGCTGTGGGAGTTCAGAGTTAGATTTTCAGGAGTTATTTTGTCCAAAATGACACCTACAGAGTTAATTACAAAACACTCATTTTTAATGCTGGGTTTTAACTCTCATGTCAGTGTTACATATCAACTATATAACTCGTTTTAGTGTTAAATTAACTATTCTTGGTGTTTAATTGGAGCAACACCAGAAAATTAACACTTTTGAATTTGATGTGTGTTATTTCTTCATCCAGCTGAAGTTTGGGTTGCTTTTATGAAAGACCTTTCTGAAACTGTCAGACCTTTCAGCTTGTCCCTACCAACTTCAACAGAAATCTATAATTCATCTTCTTTATTAGACTTTTCCAAATAATAATGATAAAAAAAATTACTTGTTCTGTCGGCCATCTATGGAGAAGAAAAGCTCCTGTAGCTCCTCGGTAGTCAGGATTCCATCAGCAAAGTAAGTGTTAAACTCATCAAATGACAATTTTCCATCATCTGGAAAACAAAGAAGGTGCAAAATGTCATTATCATTAAGAAATTGAGCTTTTTTTTTAAAGATGCCACATAGAAGCACTGTTTATATGCATGCAAAACCAATAAAAATTCTACAAATACAGCTCCGTTAGAAATTAGAAATAACTCCTCAGTCCATTGGAGTTCCTAGAGCTCAATCGATTTTGAGTGAAGCTTGTTGTGACAAAGCACAGGAAAAATCAATAGCAAAAGATGAATAGCTGAAAAAGTGCTCCATCACGAGGAGAAAACATCAATCTGTCTGCTGGCACAGATAAGCACAGCTGGGTCAATGGTAAACCTGCCAGGGGAATCTGAAATCTTTGAAAAAGATCAGATCCAAATTTTGTGTCAGTGAACCTGCCTGAGTCATGATTCTGAGGAAATGAGTTTGGAGACAGAAATTAGCCATAGAAATGAAGAACAAATGAGAATGAAATCTGACAAACTGAACAAAGAGCAATAAAAACATTCCAGATGATGCAAAATGGTTATCAGTAGCAACTTGTCCATTGAGGTTGTATTGGGTCCCACCCTCCCTGATGTTAAGAGAGAAAAAAAATAAAAAGCAGATTAAAAAATCTACAGTGTATACATATATTATTTACTATAAATGTGTCAGTTGTGCTTATTTGTGTGTTTTTACCAGCTGTCTCTCACAGACTCACTAATATCGTTTTGCACCCCTGGACTGTGGCAAACAGCAAATCACATTTGGTTGCTAGGGAGAACTGGACCATTTTTAGCCAACTGGCATCACTGGGTTGAAGGCCATGAGTGCTGGCCAGTCAAGAAAACAGTCTCTCTCTCTCTCTCTCTCTCTCTCTCTCTCTCTCTCTCTCTCTCTCTCTCTCTCTCTCTCTCTCTCTCTCTCTCTCTCTCTCTCTCTCTCTCTCTCTCTCTCTCTCTCTCTCTCTCTCTCTCTCTCTCTCTCTCTCTCTCTCTCTCTCTCTCTCTCTCTCTCTCTCTCTCTCTCTCTCTCTCTGTCTCTGTCTCTCTCTCTCCCTCCCCCTCATTCACAAACGCTCACTCTTGGTTGATATCGATTGAGCTGAAATCACACTTGTTCCAGTAAAATGCGTTTATTTTAATTTAGCTGATTGCTCAAATGTTCAAAACAGGATAAATATTTTAATTTCTACATTGTTTTAGTGAAATCAAGTTTAGCACTGTGAGTTCTAGATGCTTTGAGCAGATGACTGAGACACACAGGCTGTTGGGGACAGAAAAACCAAGCTGGAAAACAAACTAATGTCACAATAAAATGAGAACAGGGACAAAATGGATATTTTGGACTGCAGTTTGGTAGAAACACCAATACGGTAGGTTTTTGCATTTAGGTTTTTGCATTTGTTTTAGTATTATAGAATAGAATAGAATAGAATAGAATAGAATAGAATAGAATAGAATTTATTTATCTCACAGCGGGGAAATTCACTTGTTACAGCAGCACCAACACTTGAGAAAGTAATCTGTTGCTAATTTGCAGGAAATATCTTGAAGAAAGTTCTGCAGAAAGTAGCTAAGGGGCCTCAGAAATATAGCTAGGTTCATCACTAGGCGTTAGGAACAGTGACAAAGTCGCTGAGTTGGCACTGCTTCTCTCTCTGCTGCTAAAGCTACAGATAGCAAATGCTACGGGCTATGCCTGAGCGTGAACGCGCATGAAGCAGCCTGCTTGACCCGAGCATCTCTCTTTTTCTGTGATTTTACAGAAAAAAAGGCAATCACAGTAAAAATGCCAGGGCTCATTCTACAGGACCAGGGCATTGCAGGAGAATGTACTGTATGAAGAAGACATTTATTATTTCTATACATGTTTTGGCTGTCAAACTTCCATAATGCCCCTTTAAAGTGAAGTATTCGAGTCCTGTTGGTTTCCTTCCTGTTGGCATTTTATAATCTTTTGAATCTAATTCCATTTCAAGTAGAACAGTTCAATACAATTGCCCTTCAGCTTGAATCTTTTTGGATGTGAATTGTTGCTATTGCATAGCACTAGAATTGATATTTTAAATAAATTTTACTACCATTGAAGGTCCTGGGTTCGCTTCCCGGCCTGGGGTCTTTCTGCATGAAGTTTGCATGTTCTCCCTGTGCATGTGTGGGTTCTCTCCGGGTACTCCGGCCTCCTCCCACAGTCCAAAAACATAACTGTTAGGTTGATTGGTCTGTCTAAATTGTCCTTAGGTGTGAGTGTGAGTGTGTGTGTGTGTGCGTGATTGTTTGTCCTGTGTGTCTCTGTGTTGCCCTGCAATGGGGCACTCTGTCCAGGGTGTACCCTGCCTGATTGCCCATTGACCGCTGGAGATAGGCACCAGCACCCTTGTGACCCTACGTGGACAAGTGGGCTCAGAAAATGGATGGATGGATGGATGGATGGATGGATGGATGGATGGATGGACGGATGGACGGATGGACGGACGGACGGACGGACGGACGGACGGACGGACGGACGGACGGATGGATGGATAACTACCATTAATCTCTGAATTTCACACACCACATCTACAGAATAAAAGTCTTTAATAACTTGAGCTGCTGGAGAGACAGTTCGGGGATTGTGTTGAAGGGTGGTGGTGAGGTGGGGATGCAAGCAAGGATGTAGGAGAGGTTCTTGGTGACCAAATGGGACATGCCCGTTACGTGTTATTCTGAAGCGGTATTTATCATTTATGATGTGTTGTACTGATGTTTTATTTATTCATCACCGCCTTCCTTACTGGTTGCACAGTTGAACAGTTTTTTTGTATAAAGCAGCTTTTAACTGCGAATGTCGAATTTAAAGTGGGCAAGTGGAAATAATCCAGGGAACGTCCAACAACAGCTTGCTTAACCAGGGACACCTAAATTTAAAAAAGAATGACAAGATAAATAACTATGTTTTTATGTATGGGTTAAAGTATTGTTTAAACGGTTTCTAACAAACTTGTTTCAGACCTGGTTTACACATTTATTTTTATGAATTTAAAGTAACGGTGAGCAGTTTCCTGCTCCTCTGCCCTACTGGTTGAAAGTGGGATTACAACAGTTGTAAACAACACTGCAGCAGCCTACTGTAGCTAGTGCTAACAACGAGCTAACCTAACATGAGCTAACTAACAGGGCTGCCAACATTTGGACTTGTCCATGCGGAGATGATTTTGTAGCATCCTTTAGTGTCCAAACTAGTGTAGACTGTGCCGATGTTCACTCTGGTTTTAACTCTTTGCTTCACCTCCAAAAACATTACTTCCAGGCTTCGCCATGATGTCAACAGAAAAAGCAACCTTTCCTTCTTGAGCTTTTTATTGACGATTGGCGAACTGAAAATGCTAACCACTAGCATTACAGCTAACAGCCGCAAAGCAGGTATACAGAGCAACCCCTAGGGCAACTACCCGCTCCACAAAAAATATGAAGTGTGGTTTTAGGTCAGCAGAGGTCTGCAGAGTGGTGTCAGATATGGAAATGGTCATCTTTCGAACCCAACAATCACTGAGATCATTGTTAAAGATCTAGCTTAAAGTTTAAAAAAACAATCAGTTGTTACTTTAAGTCAGCACCACACAACAATATTTTATTTTACTTTTTATCTCAATTATAATATATTATATAATGACACCTTATTGTTTGAGAAGGAGCAGAAAGAAGCAAAATAAGTGCACAGTGAACTTCAGTTTGTGTCTCCTGACAGATTCCACTTATTGGTGATATTCTAACCTGTAAATGCATGAAATGTTTTTTTTACTATCTGCCTACACAAACCACAAAACATCATCAAGTAATACTAAATCTATATTTTTTCACTGAAATAAATTGGTGAAATAAAAAGCTAGACTCTCATCCTTATCAAAATCAGTTGAAGCTGCAGCATTTACTCATCTAATTCACATCCCAAATGCCTGCTATAATGCTTTGAAAGTGACTAATTATTCAAGCAAGTCCAAATGACTCATTCCCTCTTAAGGCAGCTCTCCTCTTCTCCAAAAATGCTCCCATGCATTAATTAAAAGTATTACTCCTCCATATTTGGGGATAACATACATTTGCGGGGACCATTGTGCACTTTCTGGCTGCAGAAATGGCCTGTCTGAAGGTTAATTTCTGTCCCTGAACCATTCTGTGTCTTTGCCTGTGAATCTAAAATCCTGATGACTTAGTAACTGATTTTAACAAAGAAATAAAAACAGTATAGAGGTGATTCCTGAAGCTGAGATAAAAACATGACACGTTATTGCAGAACATTGAAGAGGTAGAGAAGAGTCCCTGATTTTGACTTAAACACAGAAGTTAATCTGTCAGTACAGATGTTTCATTGAAATCAAATCACTGCCAGTCTGTTCAAGATGAGTGCAGCTGGGATTATTCACATATTTAGAGTGAACTAGACCTACTCAAAGCTCAGTGCCATGCAGAAAATTCTGTTATAACAGAAAATTAAAGGCATATTTAAATAACTCTGATGGTCCAAGCAAACATAACAATTTATGTATTATTAAAGGTGTGGAACACTGAAAAAATTATTTGATTATTTCTGATTATAATTGGTCACTCTGAGTTTTTCATACAGAGTGAACATGAAATTAGTCTCCTACACCTTTCTCCTGCTTTAGCTTCTGATAGAAAACGCTAGGATTAGAAAATCCTGATAGATCTATGCCACTCACCCATCTTGGCTCGCGACGGAGAAGGCTGTTGTTGTTTTAACATCTAGGAAACAGTACTGAACATATCGGCTAGCAGAAGCTAAGCAGACTTGCATTATTTGTGAGGAGAAAATGTCAGTGTTGCGGAGCAAACTGAGTCAGTGGTAGCATTGCGTTTCTGTTATCCAATCCGATGTGAGATATCCAAATATCAGGAAATAAAACTCCAAATCCTGCTGCCTGCTACCACTTTCTGCTGCAGCAGACTTGTCCATGCTGATCCAGGCCCTTCTGGGCTTTTTCTCCCCCCAAGTACAACTTGCATGGCTTTCATTCCCACCAGCGACTACTGCT